AGTAAATTGCAAGAGTATTAAATTTCAAATATATAGTTATAACTCAGAAGCAAAGAGCTTTAGAGCTATAAAACTAGACTGCCTATAAGTAAAATTAAGTGTAGAACAACTTTACTTAGACAGCCAGAAGTGGTTTACTTAATAAAATTTTGAGAAAATAGCAATTGTTTTTAAAAAAAATTTGGTACAAGTGATCGTTAGAGAGAGTTAGTGATTTGCGTCCAAATTCGAACTTTTTACTACGCCTCTTATAAAATCCTGTAAATTCATATTTATAATTTTTTCATATTTTACAATAGAACCTTTTGATCATACATTTAAAAAAATAATAGTTGTACTAAGCAAGTTTACAGTCTTAATATTAACGAATATAAAAGCTATAATAAAGAAGTTTTATGTGAGTATAAAAATTAATTTATTATAGATTAACATTATAGTAATTATTTTAATAATTATCGTTAAAATTAGATTCTTTTTGACAGAAATCTTTATGCATAGTTCTTGTGATCACACATTATAAAGAATTAATTTTATAAATCTATATCTTTTGTTTTTTTTTATATATTATTTTTTTCAATATAGAAGATTTACTTACTGTCAGAAAAAACATAAGTTATACTGTAGCAAGTTGGAAGTAATTGTACATGTGGAAAGTATGTCTAATTGCAGTCAACAAAGTTCTATAATATCGATAGAAAACATATTCAAGAGTGAAAAAAACAAAAGTCAAAACTTCAAGCTATTATATATGATATAAATTTGAATTCAAGACAAGTATAGGTACTTAGTGGTCATGAACAAAAGATAATATATCCTGCAATAGAAATAGATTTACTATCATTTATAAAAAAAAATGTGAAAAAAGAAATATCATCAAAGTATTTATGATAGGAAAAAAAGCTAAAGAACTAAGTGAAACATTTGTATAAAAATTTTAAAGCTTCACATAGGTGGGTTAGATGCTTTATACAATAATATAACTTAATACAGTATACTTATACACAGATATCACAAAAGTTTTTAGAGGATATGCCACAAGTAGTTCAAAATTTTTTTCAGATTGCATGTAATATGGTAAAGAATATTAACAAACAATATATTATTTCTTTCAATGAAACCCTATTTGATTCGACATGCCAAGCAAATCAACTGTTGATTTTTGAGGTTCATGTGAGGTATTAGTTAAAACAACTGGAAATAACAAATTGTACTTTATTGTCATTTTAATCTACACTGTTTCTGGGGAAAAGCTCCTGGCATTAGTATTATTCAAGTTACAAAAAAAGCTGAAAAGAAAGTTTCTAAGAAATGTTGTGGCAAAAGCACCTAATGCAACTATAAATTGTGATTTAATATTATCTATATATATTTCTTAAATAATTCGTATGCAACTAGATGGTTTCTTTAAAAACAAAGGTGTAATATTTGTTGATTATCATGCAAACCATATTCGTAATGATATTATAAAAACATTAAATAAAGAAGGTCTAGAAGTTGTAGAAATTTCTAGCAGAACAACCAGTATACTACAGCCCTCTGATGTTTCTGTTAATAAATCATTTAAAAGTTGATTTAGAAAAAAGTAAAATGAATAGATAAGTAAGGGAGAAAAAAATATACAGTCAAAGGTAGTGTTCGAAAATGGATTAAAAATCCCAGTTAATCCGGGATTGATCTGAATCTGATCTGAATCTGTAATTCGTATTGAATCTGGGAGTGATCTGTGCCAATCTGACGGTTTATCACATATATTTGTTACAATATAAGTGATAAATTCGAATTTATCACGTAACAAATTCGAATTTATCACTTATATTGTGGCATAAGGTGTGATACATTTGAATTTATCATATAACAAATTTGAATTTATTACATAGAGTAATTGTATAAAGATATGACCTAAAATTAGGCCCAATCCTGCTCAATCCGGGCCCAATCTGATGTTTTAAGAGCCAAACCTAATCTGACGGTTTGGATCTGCACAAATCCGAATCTGATCTGTGCTGACTTTTTCGAACACTAGTCAAAGGAATTGCAAGAAGGCATCTTATGAACTAGTTTGTAAATAGGTTTCAGAAACCTGGAAGAAGATTAGTACTGAATTATTAGTTAAATCTTTTGAGGCATCTTAAATTATATTAAATCTCAATAGTAGTAAAAATTACAAGATGTCAAGCCACTTACAAGCCATAGTTAAAAATCATTTAGATGATATAAACTGGACATAGAAAATACTAGTAATAATTCTATAACAATTGTTAAAAGTAGTAAAGAAGCATTTGATGATGAAGATATGTTTGATAAAGTAATGTTGATGAAGTGATGTTTGATGAAGCAATATTTAATAAAGAAATGTTTAATGCAGCGATGTTTGATGATGATAAAATAATTAATGAAGAGATGTTTGATGAAGAGATGCTTGATGAAGTAATGTTTGATAAAGAAATAGTTAATATTTGATAAAATGGTTATTGATGAAGAGTGGATTGATTAAAGCATTATGAACTGATTCATAAACTTAAATTAAATTATATGGTTGATATTAATACTATGTAAATTTTTGGTATAGACTTATATTTTTTTTAAAATTGCATTGTTTTATTCAACTTTTATATTTTTGAATTAAATTTGTGATAAGAAATTATTATTAGGCATTTAATAAACAAGTTAGAATTGCTAAAATTTAATGTGAAAGTATTAGGCTTGCATTATTATTCTGAATAAAAAAGTGCTTAAGGACACATCATCATACTAGAAACTTTTCAGGTATAAACCAGTTTATTATTAATTATTTGCCTTTGAAAAAAAATTAATGAAGAATTTATAATTAATACTGTAAATAGATTATTGTTGAAAATACAATATGAATGAAAAGATCTTCAAAAATCTAACAAGATTTGTGAATAACGAACACACTATTAATATAATGCAAAAAATTCTAGTGACAATGCATTTGTATTAATTAATCATAAAGTGATTAATCAAATGATATATAAATATAAAAAAGCATTTACAGATTTAAATAAGTCATTAGTGATTGAATCAAAAAATATATTTATACTAAGCAAACGTGGAGAAATATACAATGCTTATAAGTTATTTTAATTAATGTTAAACATATTTATTGTGATTTAACATAGACAATTTTGATGTAAAGTATCTTTTTATTGTTATTGTACTATAATATAGGATTCTAAATAAATTATTGAAACTGAACTAAATATTCAGAAGTTGTGAAAATAAATTATATATGGTTTGACAGCATGGTGAACAAACCCGAATTTGGATGATTGATATTGTGGCTTAGCCAATTTAATAAAAAAATTTTTTTGATTTTTTATACAGTTTAAAGTACTTCGCATTCTCGTGATT